GGAACACACCTGAGAAACTCTTCCCGGTCCATTGTGGAGGCAAACGAGAAGACGGAAACCTGATCCGCCCAGCCGAGAACGCAGGTAAGCGCAACCCATTGATTTCGAATGATGGGATCGCGGGGCAATTGTTCGGGCTGGGGGGAAAGATGGATGGAGACTCAAATGGTCCATGCCTTGGAGGGGATCAGAAAGCTCTGAGGAGGGCTTAGATGTCTACTTGGCCCGCGCTTCAACACCCTCACCGTGGAGGTATGCCCCGATGTCACTGGCAAGGAGCTCTTTGGCGCATTGAGACGGGCCTGCTCACACGCTGAGGCAAAGCTGCAGCAGATTGAATGGCCTCGCTTGGTGACGAATGGCATCGCGTATGGGCTGGCAGCAATGCAACATGGAGGAAAGGACCACACGACCTTGGCGCCATGGCCGCTCAGTTAAGGACGACAAGATCGAGCCCAAGCCCCGATACCCAACACATTTTGCTACCTGAGATCAAGACGATCGGGTCGGTGTTAGGGCTAGGGCGCAAGAAAGAGCGGCTCAACGCTTTGGATCAGATCGAGTGAGAGCTCACGAGATTCCGCCGTATGGCCTGAGAACTACTGCTGCTACAGCCTGTGGAAGGAACTCAAAGCCGCCTGGACTGAGGAAAACTTCGTAAGAGCCGCCGACAGCTCAACACTGACGACCCGCGCAAGGAGGACTTGAAGTTTGTTGCACTTGCACCCGATAGCGGTTTCCACTTACCTCGCTCACCCCGACGGCTACTACCAGCAAGTTTGCGTGCCACGCCAAGCGAAGGGCATCATGTATGGTCAGCTACACAAAAAGCGACAAGCGCCCAAGGTTGGAGGGGATCCTCACGGAGCTGAAGGTGAAGAAGGCCTACCCGGCTGGCAAACGGCTTCGACCTACGGTCAAACACGGCCCCGCACCAATGAAGGAAAGCCCATTTGGTGGGATGGGGCCACTCATATGGGACGCAGCCGTGGGAAGGATTGCAATCATGCGCACCAGCCCATCACCACCACCAAGGGCCTGCGTTGGACCGTGTTGGCACAGCTGATACGACGTGGAGGCTTGAAGAGTGGGTTGATGGCCGAATTGCACAGCTGAGAGCTCAGGCAAAGTCAGAGCGCGATGAGAAGGTGAAGGACGGTGGTGGGCAGAAGGTTGGCCACCCCGGAAGAATACGAAGGAGTCCAGTACACAGCTCGAGGACGAGTTGAGGGAGTTGACACGAGAACCTGATGCAGACTGGCTTAAGGACCCAATGCTCACTATCTGGGAGAGAAGGGCTGAACATCCGGAAGCCCAGTGTTGCCTGAAGCTCGAGAAGGGAGGAGTCTTTGCAAATATTGGTCCAGCTACCTTCAATCCACATGTTCGAGGGAGGATGCTGAACGCAGTTGGGAAGGGATGCCCTGAACTAGCACAAGAAGCCGACAAGGTCTTGAGTCGAGAGCGCTCGGTTGGTTGGGTCGATGATGAAAGGCAAGCTTGGATCAGCGCACCCGTGTGGCGCAAAGACAAGGCCTATGGTGAAGGGAAGTGTTCGAATTCCAAGGCGGCGATGAGCGGCATTGTTGGCGCTACCTGGACTACAAGGACAAGCTCCGACGAACTCGCGAGCGCTTTGGGACTACAACCCGGAGAAGATGAAGAGTGTCAATGCATTGTTCTTCACCCAGCAGCTAGAGTCCGGAGTCCTCCTTTGGCTTTGGGAAGGCGATTGGGATCCTGAGCGCTCACCTACGATTGAGGAGGTCAGAAAGCACTGCTCTTTCGCGCAGGCCGTTGGGATGCAGCGAAGGCGATTGCCGAGCCTGGAGACCCAGCACCGTGAATTGGAGCTAGTGACTTCGAGCCCATCACGACAAGGACTTGACCACTGCCTCTTCCACGCCTTTCTCCTGGACGAGCTCAAGGAGGTTACGCTGCAATGCTGGAGGGTAAACTGCCGCGGACGTTGCCAAGTCGACCACCTGGTAGGAAGCCTGTTCTTGATCCACGTTGGGCGAATGAGAAGGAAGAGTCCATCAAGGTAGCTGCCCAACTGACATAAAGCGGGCAAGCAGATCGTGAATTGGCCATGTGAATGCTGGAGGGAATTCCTGGCAAATGAAGACGCAGCACCCTTGCTCCCCGGGAAGCTCCATGGTAGCTGTGGCGGTGCCTCCCCCTGCTTGGGATGCTTGGGGTTGTTGTCCAAGCATCGCGGGCATTCAACGAGCACCCGATCGACGCGCAGGAGCTGATCCTCATGGGAGCCCACACGCCTCTCAAACATCGGCCATCGTTTGCCTATGGAATCCGGGCGCAAGAGGTTTTTGCAGGCTCAGGGACATGGACACGGGCAATGCAAGAAGCTCGCGTTGCCGCAGACGAGCCGGTTGAGTTGTTCGGTGTCCCACTTCAGAAGCGCGACCGGCGCGACCAGTTCGACCTCAAGGACGCTTCCGTGGCAAACCGCCACGTTGGAGCTCCCAGGTCCAAGCACAGCGAACATCTGGGAGTTTGGCGCGTAAATCGGTGGGTACAATGAGAGCTCCAGTGGATTGCTGTAGACGCTGAACAGCAGGCTGATCGACGGCATGGGCGACTCAAGCACGAACTCCTTGTCGTGGGCGTAGAGCTGCTCGCGCATCCGGCAGGTCAGCTCGTAGAAGAGTTGCCCTCCTCCTCACTGACGGTGGGAACGGGCCCTACTTCAGGCGAGGCGAAGGTGCGTTGAGGAGGTTGAAGTCGCAGTAGCTGGTGCATGGGGCTCATCACCAAGCGACCGAGTTGGATCGCATGGACGCCATCCCACTCCCTTCTTGACCTGCGTCCGCGTTTCATCACGACCAGAATCGGCAGGTGCTTCGGCAGTCTGTGCGCAAGGGCAGGGCTTCGGCTGCGACCCGAAGGTTTTCCTGGTGAAGCGGCGGCGAAAGCCTTGTAGCATCCCGTTGGGGTGTGGGCTATCTTTGCGAGCTCCAGATCCTCTTTGTTCGCAGAGGTGGGGAACTCTCCATGACGCGCTCCTTTGGATGCCTTGTGGCAGGTCAACACTCCGCAGTTCCTCTTGGCGGAGGCACTCTGATAAACCTGACGGTGATGTCCACAAAGAGGTGCTCGAACCAGTCGCCCCGGTCCCGGAGGCCATCTGGAGCCAAAGGTCTCATCTCGCTACTCCACCTCGGACTCGGAGTCGGGGTCCAGAAGGCGTTCATGCCCATCTTCATCTCTTATGACACGGCTCACCTTTTTTGCACAGCATAGGCGGCAACAACATCGGGCCAAGCGCGCAATGAGCCCCAGAATGAATGCGCCATACTCCACGACCTAGTCCAATGAACCGTGGTGAACCATGTGTATAGCGGTGCAGCTCCAGTAATGCTTCATGATCAATTCCAGCGAACTCCTGAATGTGAAGGGCGTGCTTGGCTTTGCATTCCAGCTGGCGGCACAAGTGGATCTCACCCACCTCCTCCAGCTCTCGACGAAGCCCCCCGCCCGACTGCACGACAAGGCCCAGTCAGGGTGTGCAGGCTGTAGGTCAGGATTCCAAGGAGGCCGGTGTTGAAGCTCACCATGATGATGTAAGCTGCCCCCGGCCGCACGGCCACCAGCTCCCAAAGGCCTCACTCCGATCCCATCGATGAAGTAGCCTGCTCATCTCCTGGGGCCTCGGTGTGTCGCCAAAATCCCTAGATGGTGCCCTCGAACCGCCAGAAGATGCCCTCCTGCGTGGCCGTCTCATTGAGCTGTGGTCCACCGTCCTCGTCCAGTCCGGGTCGGGTTCCTGAGTGAGCTCCAGCCCCCATGGCCATCCCACAACCAAGGGAGAAAGACGTGTTTCCACATCTATGCAATCTGCCACATGTCGGTAGCAGAAAGCCCCTCCGAGCCCAAGCTTCAGAAGCGAGCGGTCCTTAGAACCTTGCATTTTCCTAAAGCTCAAATTCCCATTTTTAAGTGCTCCTTCCTGCTCCAAGTTGGAGTCGCTCCTTCTGACCTTCTTCTCTAAACCTATCGTTATAACACTCGGGTGGCCCACGTAAGGTGTGCTACAAGTTGAAACTGTCACTGTTGCAACGCTTTCTCAAGGCTTTCACTTTCGGGGCCCACCACCCACACTCTATATGACCCTATTAAACAAATGAACAGTCACACCCCAAAAACTAGCAAACCTCATCTATAAACAAAAACACAAGGCACACTAGAAAAACAACACCAAGAAACACATGTCACAGAAACCAAAGAAGAAAGACGCGTTCCAAAACGATCTTAACCTCCCGCGTTCCAAAACGATCCCAATGCCACGTTTCAATACGACCCTAATCCCGCGTTCCAAACAGAACCCGGTTTCCACATGATGGGCCGGAACTCAGAAAATCAACTCTCCAAGAACATACACCAAGCGATCTGCAGCCCTATCGGCCGACACTGCGTCTGCCACCACAATGCTCCTGCAAACTCTCTTGCTTCGAGAGCTCTTCGAGCCGCCACGGCATGCCTATGCATGCCTTCTCCGTCACAGTGGTTTCTCGCAAGGATCACGATCCACCCATGCTGGCTGGCACTGCTCAGGGCGTTTGCACAACTGGTGTCTGAGTATTACCACAGTGATGTCGTCAATCCGCACTGGGTACAAACAAATCCCAAGCTTTGAGGTGTCCTTATCATGCTGCAACGAATTGTGCAAACAGTCAAACTCGGCGTAGGTCGTCTCCTGTCCTTCGTGCGCTACTGAGACTGCCGAAGAAATGTCCAAGCACGTCTGTTCTGACAGGTGTTGCAAACAACAACCACTCATGCGAAACTCTGGCCGATCATGTGCTGCCAAACGATCAATTGCTCACATGTCCCAGCTCGAGGTTGGTGATGAAGGTCTCTTGCACAATGCGCAGGGTCCGAATGCCATCAGTCTGTCCCAAATGAATGCCATTCTCTATAGAAGAGGCGTGATAAAACCAGTGCAGGTGCACAAATCCGGGCATGCAAGCGCACTGAGTTCTTTTTCCTTCGTGATGTGTCCGCTTTGGAAACTCAGCTGCAGGCATGCGCATGTCTACTGCAAATTGTGACACATGATGTCCAAACTGGCAGATCGCCTCTCAAAGACAAATAATGGTGGCTTTGGTCTGGGAGTCTGGGACACGGAGACAGCAGCTAACCGATACTATTTACAATCCTTATTCCAGCCTATCTTTCGGCCCTCCTCCGCTTCCCAAGGAGACGTGAGATCAAGTCTTGTCAATTAAACTAATTGACCTGCTACTGACAATATGATGGGTCAAACAGTTTGCCTCAAAGGAGGCCGTTCCGATGCCCTGGAGGTGGAAGTGTGTCCAGAACCAATCGCCTTGCAGTGGAAACTCCGGTTTGACATTTCTGCATATACCTTCTGGTCAGAACTGAGCTGTGGACTGAGTTGGACCTCCTGTTGAAACTGGCCTCGAGTTTTGTGTTGTCAGCTTTCCCATTTGAGGTCGTTTAAGTGTTTTTGGCTGCGAGGTACCTCAAGCCGGTGGAGACCGGAGCATCAGATCTGCGGCCTCAGGACAACTTCGCGAAATGCCTTCCAGATTAGTTTGCAATTCAATCAGTCTCGTCGTCCTCGCCTGATGCAGTGATAGAACGAGTCTTGCCGGACACGCGTGGGCACCTAAACAACTTGTCCTTTCTACCACCCAAGCATGATGGCGTTTTGACAAAGCCATGAACCTTGCGACAAACGTCTGCCGAAGTCAGCCAAAAACTCGAAAATGTGTGCCCGGCTCTGGCAAGCGTAGACCATTCGGATGTGATGGCCTCGGGCTACAAAAACCCTTTTTCTTTCTATCTGCCGATCTATGGCCCCTCACAACTCAAACCTTTCCGAAAGGGTGCCAAAAAATCAAAAAGAAACAAACGCCCACGCTTGAACGTTCTACCAACATAAAATTAAAAACATTGACTAGTTGTTTGCACACCATCCTGAACCAGCCTGCGGCACAACACTCAGTGATCACGGGATCTGGGGGGCCCTCCGCCGGCCGCATCCAATACCACCCAATCCGTTCTGCAGAGGTGTGCGGGCTCCCTTTGTGTTCGGCGTCTTGATTTCTCTTGTGGCCCCTGCAAAGCGAAAGCCGGTGATGCTGGCTTCCTTACATCTTGCCGACCAGCCTGTGGACGTAAATCACGCTGTCCGTGGAGAGCAAACAGTGCCACACAAACAACATTTCTGGTAAACTGCTTTATTGCAACCCACATCTTGCTTTGGGCCTTGGGACCTGCCATTTTCTTGTGCCAAAAAGGTATTTTGCACTCCACAAAGCTGCCCAACCTCGATCCTGCCCCCGCGGCGCTGTGGTGGCCCTGCACGTGTATCGCAAAACGAACTACAGTAGACATGTGGACATCTCTCTGCTTTAAAACTCTTCACCCTCTCTGTGTTTACTTTTTCCCGAATGCATCCGAATGCGTAGCGAAGGGTTCCCGTTTATAGTTGGGGGTCTGGGGGTTGGAGCTGTGTTTGCATGGCTTGCGTCGTGTCGTCGTCTGTCGTCGTTCGTCGTCTGTCGTCGTTTGTCGTCGTCGTCGCGTCTCAAATTCGCGGCCATTGGGGGAAGCTTTTGCAAGTGATTGTTCATGGACGTGTCACGTGTCAGTTTGCGCCGCTATTCCGTTGTGATTTGCAGGGCCATGACATGTCGCGCAAGAAACGTGATGCATTTCGCTGCACAGGCGCAGCGTTTTGTGAGATCCGCAGTTTTCTGCGCAGTTCCATTGGGATTAGCGTTTGGAGAGCCGTGTTTTTGGGGTGTTGGATGTGGCCGTGCCATTGGGATTTGCGTTTCAGGGTGTGGCATCAAAGCTCTGTTTTCGTGACAAGTCTCAGCTGAAATTGCGATTTTGGTGGATGGGGGTGTGTTCAGAACGGGTCGAAATCATTCCAAACGTGTGGCGTGGTGCAAATTTTCTGGAAGCTCACATGAGAGGATATTGTCATTTTTCGTGGCAGGCGCAGTGCTTTGTGCGGGTTTTGAGGCGTGGAAGTGCGATTCTCGTGGCAGGCGCGGTACTTTATGCGCGTTAAACGTGTGGACGCGGAAAGAGTCGTGGCAGGCACAGAGATTTGTGAGGTTGAGTTGTGGTAGAGGTGAAAGTCGCTGTCACATTGGGATTGGCGTGTGAGCGGATGTTGTTTGGAGGGGCTGGAATCGCGAAACTGCTTGGCAGGGCTGCGTGACGTGTGTGCTCCGATGGGTGTTTCCGCTTGACTTTTGGAGGATGTCTCGTGCGAAACGCTCGTTTTGCAGACTTTGACATGTGAGTTTTTGAGGATGTCTCGTACGAAACGCTCGTTTTGGAGACTTGACGTGTGACTTTTTGAGGAAGTCTCGTGCGAAACGCTCGTTTTGGAGACTTGACGTGTGACTTTTGGAGGAAGTCTCGTACGAAACGCTCGTTTTGGAGACTTGACGCGTGACTTTTGGAGGAAGTCTCGTACGAAACGCTCGTCTTGCAGCCTCGAAGCGTGCCTTTGTAGAGGTGAATGTCGCTGTCCCATTGGGATTGCTCTTGTGGGGGACACTCTTGTGGGTCACTCTTATGGGCCACTCTTGTCGGACACTCTTGTGGGACACTCTTGTGAGACACTCTTGTAGGACCAGGACACTCTTGTGGGTCATTTGGAGACTCTTGTGGGACACGCTTGTGGGACACTCTTGCAGGACACTCTTGTGGGTCGCTCTTGTGGGACACTCTTGTAGGACACTCTTGTTTGACACTCTTGTAGGAAACTCTTGTGGGACACTCTTGTAGGACACTCTTGTGGGACACTCTTGTAGGGCAGTCTTGTGGGACACTCTTGTGGGGCACGGTTGCGGGACACTCTTGTGGGACACTCAACGAGCGTTTCGTACGAGACTTCCTCCAAAAGTCGCACGTCAAGTCTCCAAAACGAGCGTTTCGTACGAGACTTCCTCAAAAAGTCACACGTCAAGTCTCCAAAACGAGCGCTTCGTACGAGACATCCTCAAAAACTCACATGTCAAAGTCTGCAAAACGAGCGTTTCGTACGAGACTTCCTCCAAAAGTCAAGCGGAAACACCCATCGGAGCACACACGTCACGCAGCCCTGCCAAGCAGTTTCGCCATTCCAGCCCTTCCAAACAACACCCGCTCACACGCCTGTCCCGTAGGAGTATCCCACAAGAGTCCTGTAAGAGTGTCCCACAAGAGTTTCCTACAAGAGTGACCCACAAGAGTGTCCTACAAGAGTGTCCTACAAGAGTGTCCCACAAGAGTGTCCCACAAGAGTGTCCTATAAGAGTGTCCCACAAGAGTGCCCTACAAGAGTGTCCCACAAGAGCTTCCTACAAGAGTGTCAAACAAGAGTGTCCCACAAGAGTGTCCCACAAGAGTGTCCTACAAGAGTGTCCTACAAGAGTGTCCTGCAAGAGTGTCCCACAAGCGTGTCCCACAAGAGTCTCCTGTAAGAGTGACCCACAAGAGTGTCCTACAAGAGTGTCTCACAAGAGTGTCCCACAAGAATGTCCGACAAGAGTGTCCCACAAGAGTGTCCGACAAGAATAGCCCATAAGAGTGACCCACAAGAGTGTCCTATAAGAGTGTCCCACAAGAGTGTCCTACAAGAGTGTCCCGTGAGAGTATCCCACAAGAGTCCTGCATGACCCACAAGAGTGTCCTACAAGAGTGTCCCACAAGAGTGTCCCACAAGAGTGTCCCACAAGAGTGTCCCACAAGAGTGTCCTACAAGAGTGTCAAACAAGAGTGTCCTACAAGAGTGTCCCACAAGAGTGTCCTGCAAGAGTGTCCCACAAGAGTGTCCCAAATGACCCACAAGAGTGTCCTACAAGAGTGTCTCGCAAGAGTGTCCCACAAGAGTGTCCGACAAGAGTGGCCCATAAGAGTGACCCACAAGAGTGTCCTATAAGAGTGTCCCACAAGAGAGTCCTACAAGAGTGTCCCGTAAGAGTATCCCACAAGACTCCTGTAAGAGTGTCCCACAAGAGTGTCCCGCGAAATTACCCCCAAGAGTCTCCTGTAAGAGTGACCCACAAGAGTGTCCTACAAGAGTGTCTCACAAGAGTGTCCCACAAGAATGTCCGACAAGAGTGTCCCACAAGAGTGCCCGACAAGAATGGCCCATAAGAGTGACCCACAAGTGTCCTATAAGAGTGTCCCACAAGAGTGTCCTACAAGAGTGTCCCGTAAGAGTATCCCACAAGACTCCTGTAAGAGTGTCCCACAAGAGTTTCCTACAAGAGTGACCCACAAGAGTGTCCTGCAAGAGTGTCCCACAAGAGTGTCCTGTAAGAGTGTCCCGCGAGAGTGCCCTACAAGAGCGTCCCTCAAGAGTTTCCTACAAGAGTGTCCAACAAGAGTGTCCCACAAGAGTCTCCTGTAAGAGTGACCCACAAGAGTGTCCTACAAGAGTGTCTCACAAGAGTGTCCTACAAGAATGTCCGACAAGAGTGTCCCACAAGAGTGTCCGACAAGAATGGCCCATAAGAGTGACCACAAGACTGCCCTCCAAGAGTGACCCACAAGAGTGTCCTACAAGAGTGTCTCACAAGAGTGTCCCACAAGAATGTCCGACAAGATCCCACAAGAGTGTCCCACAAGAGTGTCCGACAAGAGTGGCCCATAAGAGTGACCCACAAGAGTGTCCTGTAAGAGTGTCCCACAAGAGTGTCCTACAAGAGTGTCCCGCAAGAGTATCCCACAAGAGTCCTGTAAGAGTGTCCCACAAGAGTTTCCTACAAGAGTGGCCCACAAGAGTGTCCTACAAGAGTGCCCTACGAGAGTGTCCCACAAGAGTGTCCTATAAGAGTGTCCCACGAGAGCGCCCTACAAGAGTGTCCCACAAGAATTTCCTACAAGAGTGTCAAACAAGAGTGTCCCACAAGAGTGTCCCACAAGACTGCCCTACAAGAGTGTCCCACAAGTGTGTCCTACAAGAGTGTCCCACAAGAGTGTCTTACAAGAGTGTCCCACAAGAGTTTCCTACAAGAGTGTCCCACAAGAGTGTCCCACAAGAGTGTCGCACAAGAGTGCCCTACAAGAGTGTCCCATAAGGGTTTTGTACAAGAGTGTCCCACAAGAGTGACCCACAAGAGTTTCCTGTGTCCCACAAGAGTGTCGTTTGGACATATGTAGCTTTTCGAACGTGTTTGCATTGGGGTTCGTGGGCTACATCTTGTTGTCTTGAGCCACACGAGGGCCAACCCTTTTCTGGCTATGTGAAGATCATAGCTAGGTGGGGGTAGGTAGCTTGACATGATTGCTTGTTTGCATGTGTCCGCACCGCAGCTTGCCGCAAGCGTTCAGCGTAGAAAACACTGCGCGTTGTTCTTGCGCGTTGCACCGCGTTTTTCTTTTAGGTTTGCTACCCTGCGCACTCCGCAAGAGTGTCCGTATCCTGAGGTGGTGATACCCGATGTGACTCGCCTGGGGCCTGGATGTATGCCTTCTGAGCTGCCTTCTTGGGCAAGTAACTCGACGACGATGTTGCTGCTTGGCCGATTCCTTTCCACCGCCTCTGGTGTTGGTCTTGCCGCTGCCTTTGGCCGGGTTTGGGCAAGCACTGTCGCCGATCCACTGGCCATAGGCGCACATGACGAACAGGTGCTGGTTCGCTTTTGTTTCTCAATCGTTCAAGGTCGCCCGTGAACTTTCTTCCAAGCGCTGTTGATTGCAACTTCTTGGAGACTGTCAACTCAACGATGTCGCAGGCCTTCTTCAATCGCTTCCTCAAAAGTCTGGTCAGCATCCTCTTCGCACTCCTGGGCTTGCGTTCCAGTTTCCTCAGGATTTTGTTGCATTTTCTTTTTCTTGGGTGGGCTCCTTCCTGGAAGACAAAGAACTCGTGGAAGATGCAGATGCGGCAGCTGTCGATGAAACGCTGGACTGAAGGTTCTTGCCCTTGCCTTGACATGCGCTTGCTGTATTGTCTGAGGCTGCTCAGCTTACTGGAACCTGGAAGTTCCCTGGTCCTATCAGAACCACCTCCTCAAAACCTGGGGTGAACTTGCAACGTTTCAACAGCCTGTTGCCACGGGATTCTGAACCGCACATTGCAGTCATGGAGATTCTACGGGCGGCGAGATCATTTTCAACCCGGACATAGCGGTGCAAATTGTTGCACTGTCTCCTAGGCAAGTCTGGAGACATGCGCATAATCGGCCAAGAGCTTCTTTTCCCGTTTCTGTTGCGTCCGCTTTATAAGGTGTCCACAAGATACTGGATGCCATCGTTTGTGTTGGCTCGAGCCAAGTCAAGACACGGTGTCTCCAGCTCCGCCTCGCCGGCGAGGCTGGTGAACAACATGAAACCTGCATCAGCCATGGGCATGTAAGTCTGGACTTGCGTGGGCCAAGTGGCTCTTTGCGCTCCCAGTGTGCCACTTCTCCACTTCAATCCCCGCTCTGGCAGCTGTGGTCCTTGTCATGATGTCCGGAGTGCTGCTCAATTGTGTCAACAACCCAATCATCTGCTGCTGCCGTTGATTGAAACTGTCTGTATTGCCACGCGGTTGCAACCATAGTGGCGGAATTGGCTGTTTTGCATCTCTGTCTTCTCCTGGTCGTGGAGAAGTCAGAAGGATTCACGACAAGGTCTGTAGTGTGAGTACCACTGTTGCGCCGCTCGTGACCTTCATCATCGTCATCAAGAGGCGGGTTGCTACGTTTGGGGCCGGGGGCATCGCACGCTTACTCTTCAGAGGAACGGTGGGCATGTAATGGCAACATCAAACAACGCCAGAGTTGAACTGCCAGGTCTCGACGAAACCTCTCAAAAACAGCGTGAACGACGCCACGCTTCATCTTCCCTATAGATCTGTCAGCTGCACGCTCAGCATATGGGGCCGAGCCAACTTCAGAAGCGTCAGGTGAATCCAAGGTCCGGTCGACTGTAGCCAACTTCGTAACCATACTCACCAACATCAAACTCGCTAGGGTCATCCAACACATGGTCATCATCGGCGTCCAAACAAAAGAACATGCTACCAATAGCCCGCGCTACCAGCTCACCGTTCTGCGCGCTTCAACAGCAAATGGAACAACTCAAAAACATGCCATGGCGAACGAAGTCGGATGAGCGCTCTTCTCTAATGCGATGCTTGGCCCAATGCACTGCGGGAGACATCGAGATCAAGCACACTCCTACAGCGGGGGGGAGCTACGGGTGGTGTCAGGGCGTACAGCACTTCAAGGCGATACGGCTACTAACTGTTTACAGGCAAATAGCCTGCACTTGCTAATGTTCACACCTGTTTTAAAGTCTTGAGCCAAATGAGGCATAGTAAAGTGAGATAATGAACACGTACAATGTGCTAGTGTGACGCCGCTCTCTGTCTCTCTCTCTCTCTCTCTCTCTCTCTTTCTCGTTACCAAGTTGTGTTCCATGGTAGCAACATGAATTCCTCCAAAAAGCGATGTCAGCACGCTTGTCCTGCACACGGCGCCGGAAAATAGAATGTGATAGGATACGCCAAGGTAAATAGTATATAGCAAGTTGGAGCATGCGCAGGTCCTCCGCATTTGAGCAGGATCTTTCAATGCAGTCACTGGCGCCGAAGAAGATGCACTTATACTTGGCTCCCCAACTGCGTTCAAGCGAACCTGAGCAAGATTAGGAAAGACTTTTTTCCAACACATTTTTTGCCAAAGAGACTTTTTGTCGCGCCGAAACTCTTATTTCGCAGCTGCAAATACTTTAATTTAAGTGGAGGAATCATCAGCTTGTTCCTAAAAAGATGATGACGGATGGGTTGGGAGCGTTCAGGTGTAGAGTTACTCTGGTGTAAGGTATGCGTGCCTTACGATGAAGCAGCAAAGAGAGTTGCCAGATAAAGTGAAAGAGAGGATGGGACAAGCACAGGAATCCCCGTGTGTGGTGCATAGGTGGGGATGTCCAACAAATGTATTCAGATAGAAGTCTACCGTATAGGATTTGTGTTGGATTAATGCCAAACACAAAGGTGGGCCCAAGGGTGTCTGGAACAGTGGGCAAAACATTTATCCAACATCAATCCTGGACCTCATATGGGCCGACAACTCTGGATATTTTTTGCCTTGTAGGTTCACATGTTCAACCAAAGAGTCGCTGATCCAAAAAAATATATGACTGCCAGCCGATAATGGTTTTTGCAGAGAAGCAGTTCCATTGAATCAGCCGCTCCTTCTTATATGACCTGTTAGCCACTAAATCCGAGATAGTTCTCATGGATACACCCCTCAATCCTTACAAACTCCCAACACATGGTGGTGAAAAAAGTTCATCCATCAAACCCATTTTCTGCCTCATGGTCAGGAACAAAATCTGGCCAGCACGAACAGGGATAACAACATGAAAAAATGTTCAGGGAGATATGGCGACGACTGGCCGGGAGTGTTGAAAGACATACGTGCATGTTTGTATTTTGTAGCGACGCGCCTTTTTGTCTGCCTGGCAGGCAGCGCCGCAGCGTGTATGCGTGTTGCAAGGCCGATAGTGTGCGAAAACTACTCAGAACAGAAGCACACAAGCTCGTCGGAGTCAAGCTCTCTGCGCTTGATTGACCTTGATCCCGCTCCAAGGCCGCGCCAATCTGCGTGGCACAGTGACATCACAAACGCAATCTCGCCACACGGCGTGCCAGAGACTAGACACAACAATGTCACACCAAGCCTCGTGGAGAGCGCCAATCATCCTGCTCCCCAGCGACAACCCACGTTGACGCCATCATCTTTCCAAATGGCATGGATTCACGCAAATGCACTTTCCACCAAGGTTGCGCGAATCTGCATGGCACAGCGACATCACTTATCAAACACATATACCTCAATTAGCTCATCAATTGCCTCCCTCACCCATCAGCCATCTCATCAAATGATTTTGCATTGCACAAGCCGAAGCTGAGTGTAGAATCCAGGGAAGGGACTCATCAAATCACTCATGAAAGTATCCAAGTTCACGCGCGCTCGAAACTTTATGCCTACGTTGAGCTGCCGTGCTGGCAATCGCAGCCAAAAAGCGACAACTGCTGTTATGTCGTCAGACATCTGGCCCTCAGTCGCAATCTGCCAACGGTGACGTGCAATTCCTGGCAGGATTCATCACAGAAACCTGCTTAGGAGCATGCAAGAATGACCTCCGCAAATGTCTCAAGTCAGGTTCCTCGCATCTCTCGGCATTTGCAGCCTACCAGCCTTACGTCCAGCACTGTGGCAGGACAACGCCCAAAGCATGGAATGGAGTCCTACCTTCAAGCTCGTTTGACATGACACATGCCAGCCAGGCCAGTGATTTCGCGAGCTGCTGCTTTGGGATCATCAAATTTTCCTGCAATGTCTACTGCCTGCAAGCACCGTAGGCCGTAGGCAGTGTTCAAAAAGACCGTCCCCACCTACATTCACATGGTGGCCGCAACATAGGAAAGTAGTCTTTCAACAGCTTTTCTGTAATTATGTTTGCCACCGCAAGCTTGCCTGCGAAGGCTGCCTAATTTCCTCCCTCCCCCTCCCTCGCTCGTGTTACACATGCATTCGATTTTCCAATGTTTTATCATGTTTTATCATTGAACATGACTTGTCTGCACCTCTTGTGAGCTGATATGGTCCCAAACACCGTCAGACGCCAAAACCAGCACCTGCCAAAAACAGAGTGAACAAATCCGAGAAGGAGTGATGGAGTGGATGGAGTGATCCACAACACTTATCAAATAACCAACGCCGGGCTCCATTGGAAAGCCCCAACTTCTCAATCGAGGGCTGGAAAGTGGCACTGCCTCCCTTCTTGACTGAAAAACAGTCCATTCGGCGCATGCAATCTGCCCAGATTGTATAGTATCCCAAAAGCGAGTTGAACCAGCACTTCCCCCATACATTCTTCCCCCGATCTTAACATGGGCTGGTACAGCAGCTTGTTCTGTACAGCAACACTCCCAGCGGTAACAAGGCACCTTGTCTCGGCTATCCAACTTGCGCTCAACAACCTCTGGCTGAGAAATCACCTGCTGCGCCACGTTAACGCGATAAACATGTGCTGTTGAAGCTTGCTTGCTGGCTTGCTTAGCTCGACGCCTCAAACATGCACATAAGTTTCCAACCGAGAACATGCTCAGAGTTGCCAAACGAAACAAATTATGTCTACCTTCCCTAGACCAAAAAAACAACGCAAAAAACAAGTTACCGAAAACAGGTCACTTACGCTGGGGTATTCCCTCGAAGTGCTTGCCCTAGAAGCGGAAGACTGTAAGTGCCGACCCATGTGTTCGTCAGGTGTTCCAAGGGATTGAGCTACAAGCTATGCAGGCATCAAGAAGCAAGAGCACACACACAGGCCTGAACAAGCATTGACACTACAAACGAGCACGGCAGTCCGCTGCACTCGAAGACAAGGGGCTGATGTACAATCTTTGGAAGGTGTGTACGCTTTTCTGAGGGGACTGGTTTGGCAATTTTTGGCCGTCCTTCCACAGTTACATAGGGACAGGTGCTGCACAAGTTCATTGCATTTTGGTTCCTCTGGCAAGCAGTCAACGAACCTGAGAAGCTGCAAAACGAAAGCTAGCGTTTTTACTTTCGAGTGTGCTTTCTCAGGCCACCCTCCCGAATCCCCCTTCTTACTCAGCTGGCGCAGGTATAGATACCCTGGGTAACTACAATTCAGTTACCAGGTATAGTACTTCAAGTTCCCTTTCCGTCAACCGCTCGATAACCTTTACACACGCACAGCGATCCACATCTTTGAAGTCTCATTCTTGCATTGAACTTATATAGGTGTGTAAGAGGTATAGCAACATAGCATTTATGCGGACCCAGGGTAGCTACAAGGCTGTAGCCAGGTATCCCACTTCAATTTCCCTACCCTGGGTCCGTGCGCGCGCCTTGCTGGCTCCCGGCTGCCCGTGATTTAGGCGCGCGCGCGCGCGGACCCAGGGCAGCTACAAGGCAGTTGCCAAGTATAGCACTGCAACCAACCGAAGACAATTGCATTTCTTAAAATCAAAAAAAGTGCCTCCAAAACCTTGCTTCCGTGCACCCCTACACACCACCTACTATCGAGTGTGCTTTCTCAGGCCACCCCCCCGAATCCCCCTTCTTACTCAGCTGGCGCAGGTATAGATACGCACGGTAACTACAATTCAGTTACCAGGTATAGTACTTCAAGTTCCCTTTCCGTCAACCGCTCGATAACCTTTACACACACGCAGCAATCCACAGCTTTGAAGTATCATTCTTGCATTGAACCTATATAGGTGTGTAAGGGGTATAGCAACATAGCATTTACACGGACCCAGGGTAGCTAAAATTCTGTTGCCAGGTATCCCACTTCAATTTCCCTACCCTGGGTCCGCGC